CTTCATTTGATCCAATTGTTATTAGCTATTAGCTCTCATCCCACATCTCTTCTCTCTTTCATGCCTGAAGTCCTTGAGAAAGCTAAGTGCCTCCACTGCCTCAACTTTCTTTCTGCTCATTCTCTTGCAAATCCTGGGCAATCTACTTCCAACCTCAGCATTTAATTGAAATTGCTTTCTCCAAATTACCGATGATGCTTTAATCGACACATTTAATGGCCTTTTCTCAATCATCATCTCTACTGACCCTTCTGCACCCTCTGACAATGTCAATTACTCTCTCCTCCTAGAAACTTTCATCTCTAGGTTTTCGTGAAGCTGTTCTCCCCTTTTTTCTCCCCCCTGCTTATCCAACCACTCCTTTTCAGTTTCCTTTGGTGGATTTTCATCCAGGTGAAACCTACTAAGGGTGAATGACCTCCAAGGGCAGTCCTGGACTCTGGTCTCTTTTCCCAGCATATGTTCTCACTTGGTGATCTCGTTAGGTCCCAATGGTTCAATTATTTCTACGCATGTGATTCTCAGATTTATACTATCCAGCCCTAACCTTCCTGAACACGAGTTAGCCATGATCAACTGCCTCTCAGATATCTTGAAGCCAATGTCTTCTAGGCATCTCAAACTCATAATGTCCAAAAGAGAACTCATTTTCTTCCTTCCAAAATCTTCCATTTTACCCAGCTATATTATTATCATCAAGAGCACCATGACTCTTCCAGTCACCGGAGCTCACCACCATTGTGTTATCCTTGACTGCACATTCTTACCTCACATATACAATGTGGTCAAATCTTGTCATTTTTATGCCTGCAGCAATAAAATCAAGCAAGTACTTGCTATGTGTGAGGCATGGTACTAAGCACCGGAGATACAAAGAAAAGCAGAAACAGTCCTTGTTTTCAAGGAACTCATATCCTAAATGGGAGAAAACATGAAAAAAGTGTACATGCAAAAAACATGAAAAAAGTATGCATGCAAGGCACACATAGTGTAAGCAGGAGATGACATCAGAGGGCAGGCCCTAGCAATGGGGTGAACTGGGAAAGACCTCCGGCAGAAGGGGAGAGTTGAGCTGAGTCTCAGAAGCTTGCTTTTGGGGCTAAGGAGAGAAAGCACTGCAGGCATGGAGGGGAGCCGGGGAGAAGGCAGATGTGGAAGATGGAGCACCTTGTCCAAAGAACAGTGAGAAGGCCAGTGTGACTGTATGACAGGACATGGAGGGGAGGGAGGAGGAACAGCACTAGAAAGGCAGCATGAAGGAAGGATTCAGCTTTTCAAGCCAAGAAGACGATTTTCTATCTGATCCTGGAAGTAACAGGAACCTACGACTGCCATGTGTATGTCCTCTTTTCTCCACTCGAGTAGCCACCAACGTCTCCTCCCTTGGACTGCTCTAACTCCCTTCTAACTGGGCTTCTCACCTCAGGTGTCTCCTCTCTCCACTAAGCTGTCAAAGAGATTCCACCAAAGCACAGGTCTGACCAAGTCCCTGCTCTCCCTACTCATCACACTCCAACTACTCCCTAGCACCTCCAGGGCATTTAAAGTCCTTTACAATGGCAGCTGCCTTTCCAGTCTACTCCCACTTTATTCCCAGCTCCACAGTGCAGGCCACTGACGATTGCCCATTTGGGGCTCCTCACACAGGACACTCCCTCTTTCCATTTGTACTAATTGTCACCCATAACTAGGTGTGCCGTCTCCTCACCACCATGTCCTAGATTCTCTGGCTGCCTCCAAGACTCAGCTCACATATCACCTTCCTAAGGACCCTCCCCATCATGCTCCCAAATTCCCCAGCCCCTTCCCTCCTATATCATCTTCCAGATTCCCTCATGAATATATGCAGTTAGTTATGTGCTGGCTCTCTTATTAGAGTGTAAGCTCCTTGAAGGCAGGGAGCATACATCATGGGGAAGTCACATGGCCATCCTGAGCCTCAGTTGACCAGTCTGTAAGATAAACATCAAAATATTCATTTTACCTATCTCACAAAGTTTTTGTGAGTGAAGTTCACAATTGATACTGTGTGTAACATGCTTTGAAAATTTAAAGTATTTTATAAATATCAATTATCATTATAACACATTGCAAATTCACATTTCCCTCATGGCCTAAGTCTATCAAACATGCTTCAATAAGATTGACCTGGAGGTAATTCTTCCAAGCACATATTAGTTGGGTGCTGGTGGCAGGGTTACTGGCACTACAGAATGCCTTATCCCCAGATCCTGGGTGGTAAGGAGTCAGACATCACATGATCCCCATCAGATCTGTTGCCTGCAAAGCCTCTTCACCATAAACTCTCATTCATCATCCATCCAACAAATATCTAGTAAGCACCCACCAGGTACTAAATGCTAGGGGCACAAAGAATCGTGCCAGCACTTATATTTATAAAGATCTGGCCTCCTTTAAGGGAATGAAAATCTACTTGCTCTAACTCTTCATAGCATATCAGCATCATCTTTGAATATAGAGACAATCTTACACATCAATTTTATAGTTATACACTGAATGGAGGGATAACCAGTCAGTCAACCCACACTCATTAAGAACCTCCTATGTGAAAAAAGAACCTATTATGTGTCAGGCACTGTGCTAAGCACTGGCATAACTTAAACAATGAATGGCAACATCAAGATTCCAAAAGACCTTAACAGGCAAAATAATCAGGTTAACTCTAAGAAGATGAATAGGGAAGAATGTCAAGTCCTTTTGCTTAGTGTAGAAGATCAAGCTCCCACCTTTAAGGTAAAGGAGGCCTGGACAGAAGGCAGTTGTTCTAAAAAGATCTGAAAGGTCTTAGTGAACTGCAAACTTAGCATAGGTCAGCAGGGTGAGGAGTCAGCCCCCAAAAGTAATGAGATCATGGGCATCATTGAGAGGGTTATTTCTTCAAAGAATAGAGACATGATGATCCCACTGTACTTTGACCTCAGCAGACTCATATTGAGTCTTATTATGTTCAGTCATGGGCACCAGGATGGAAAGAGGGAGTTTATAAGCTAGAAAGTGTCCAGAAGAGGGTACCCAGGAGGAGGAAGTTCATGAAGACCTCAAATTCATGATAGATGAGGATCCATTAAAGGAAATGGGTATGTTTTTGCAAGCTCCTAGAGGGCAGTGACTTTCTTTTTATTTGTTGTGTCCCCAGTGCTTAGCACCAAGTCTGGCTCATAGTAGGTGCTTAATAAATGTTGCTTGGATTGGTTTGGATTAGACTGGAATAGATTGTTTTATGGGGAGAAGAGAAGACTCAGGCAGGACAAGGGAGAAGGCATAATGGAAGGGATGTGTTCTAGGGCCCCAAAGGGTAAAACCAGGAGCGATAAATGAACTGAGGCTGACCGTTGGGGAAAACTTCCTGATAATTAGAGGTGGATGGCCACTGAGGCCCTTTCCAACTTTCAAATTCTTTAAATCTAAGAATCAAATGATCCAGCATGGTGGGTACACAGACCCGTTCTGTATGGCTTGCTGCCACACATGTTCAGACATGTGACTTGCTAAGTCTGGTCACTATACAGCCAGCTTTGGTGCCATGGCTTGCTGTCCAGGCCAAGCCACCATATGCAGCTGGAGCTCCCCCCCTTCAGCCCCCTGGCATCCTCAGATAGCCTCTGCAGCAAATTATCTTCTACTCAATTCCACTGCTTTTTAGTGATAGTGGGGTCTGTGCCTACACTACAGCTGAGGTGTATTACCAAGCCAAAACTTCATTTCTAGATGGGCAATTAGACATTCTAAATGAAATCCTCAGCAAATGTTTTCAAATGTTCCTGATTCAAGTGACTAAGTGAAAACTTTTTAAATATCATGGATTATTTTACTGTGACGAACAGGAAACCAGTGTACCATCCCATAAAGTGATGATACATCTGAAAACGAGCTCCAAGTATCCCTTTGTGTTTGGTTTCTTCCAATTGGAAGACACCACAGCTTCCATTTATTTTCTGTAGAATTTTCCCCCATAGGTAAATTCCACTGGAAACTCATATAGAAACTTGGTAAGTGTACGCCCAAGCCCTGTAGTAATATTTCTACAGAAGGTAAAGCCTCTGTGTCTCATTTATTTAGATGTGAGAGTAAACCGCACCAAAGAACACTGATACCACTCTGACAGAGTATGCAGGTAGATAGATTGGTTAAGGATTCTCAGTCATATTCTATTACTGCAAATAAATGTCCCCAAATGTGCCCCAAGTATCAGTAACCACAGACATCTCAACTACAGGTAGGGAAAAAGGGCTCTGAGATGTCTCACCCGAAAACGTTCTCCAAAGGAAATCCAGACCCTGGACTAAAGTTTGTCCTTTAAATCAAAATTCACTATAGTATCTCTGTCAAAAGATAGAGTCCCCATCTATAGCCATCAATAGCAGTATAAATGCCAGATGTCTCAAAAGACTTAGTGCAGTTTAAAGATTCTGTAACTAGAAATATAGATATAGGTATAGGCATAGGTACAGACTTTCACACTTCACAGAAAATAATAAAGCAGACCCTGGAAGTGATGTAAACTGAGATGGTTAAAGCAAGAGACAAACTTCCTTGTTTCTGTCCAGCATGGACAGGAAGGTGCTCCCTTCTTGGTAAAGGAGAGAAATGGAGGAGACTGAGCCCGTGTCTTCCTTGTATTCTCCAGACAAAGCTCTGATTTCCTCTGAAAAGCCCGAGGTCCAGGAAAGAAGCCCCTGCAGCTCGTTTCTATCAACAGAGGCATCTGTCAACAAAGGGGGATGCTGACCCCTCCCCATTCTAGCAGTTCCCCCCAATATCCAACTGCCCCACAAACCACAGCAGAAGAGTTTAGGATACTGCTCAATTATGAAAACATTCACATAAGTGGAAAATCAAAGGCATCACTGTCTTCTTCCATCCATTTACAGACACAGACCCAGCTCCCCTCTCTCATTCACAAACATGCGGAGGCGTTTGGAACATTTGGTGTCTTCACCACTGCACAAAGGTTCAGCCACCATCATTTGGGCACCTACCGGCTGTTGAACTTCTCTGGGTGTTTCTCTCTCATAATGTGGAATCTGTGGGCGATGGAGGCATCCTAAGAGGGAAAAAAAAAATCTAAAGTTAAATACTGTTATCATGGAGAAATGACAGATTTAAAAGCCAGAGTCCTAGCTCCGGGATGCCACAGGGCACTCTTCTACCTTTGGACACTGGACAGGAAAGGATCAAACTCAGGATAAGATACTTTGCTTTTGTACACCTTTTTCAATGTTTTACAAAAGCCAGATTTTCAATCCTGAGACTCCTTCTGTTTCAAAAATAGCTCTAATTTCCATCCCTTTCAAAATTTGAACTTGTTTTCCAAATTGTAGCCAAGCACATGGACAAGCATATTTCTAAAAAGTATTTGAGGAGGTTGTTAAATGAATATTCACTGAATTGTCTAAGGGAGGGGAAGACCACATATGGAAACCTCTGGGTCTATACACACACACACACACATGCACACACACATCCATATGTATATATGTGTGTATATGTGTATAAATATGTATATATGTATATACACACATATATGTATGTGTATATACATGTGTATATATGTATTTATATATACACATATATGTATATACATATATGTATGTATATAAGTTCTTTAAGAACTTAATATATTTATATATATACATATATATAACTTAATTCTTAATATATATAACTTAAGTCTAAACAATTAAGTTCTTTAGAGATCCTATCTGAGGAACAATTACATAACCACCATTAGTATATCCGGGCTCTTAAATTGTTCTCTCCTTCCCACTAGAGTAACAGAAGACAAACTACTCTGATCCTTACAGAAGAGAGATATAATCAAAAACTGGACATGCTCATTGGGCCCCTAAGCTCTTGGCAAACAGAAGACTTTGACATTAAGAGGCACAGCTTCCAGTTCCCAATGGCACATCACGTTCTCAAATGGAGAGTGAAAGACACTTCCCCTTGTAGCTAACCTCAAATAGCTGCCAGAATCTCTTTGGAGACTTTCATCCACACTTTATTAAACACTACAGTCACAAATATTTCCACAATGGTGGCAGGGGGTGGTGGTGAGAAGGAACATTGTGGAAGGCTTAGTTATTAATTTACTTCCAGATAAAAGAGGACAGCAAAAGTTCATAGAAAGAGTAAAACAGAAAGCGTAATGAAATTAGGTATTTGAATAAACCCAGAAAATATAATTCAAGGATGACATGACATGTCTAGTGAATAAAATGAAGAGGCTAATGGTTGTACTTACATAATGCAAATGAATGGGCCCGACATGCATCAGATGAGATTGGTGCCCACCACAGATAGCAAAGGGATGCTTAATTCTCCATGCAAGTTTAAAGTGGTTGAAAATTTCCTCCAAAATGGACATTTTTTTCTTCCTCTAATTCTAACTCAATTAATAAATAATAAATGATATAATAAAATAATAAACAGTAAGCTAAATAAATAATTCAAGTACCTGAATGATACAAAAGTAAAAACGATGAATAATCAAGAGCCGAGACAGAGCTCAAAACAAGAAGGGGCGACTGTAGCCTCAACATTCAGAAGGAAGATCGAGCAAAATTATGATCTGATATTTGGACAAAGTCCTACCTTGCCCATCTACTGCCTGGCTTTATAGTTCATGATGTAACCATGGAAATTGTTTATGGTTTCTACAAAGGTATGAAATTAAGATAAACAAATGTGATTGGCCTGAAAATATTTAAGGCAAATCAGAAAGTTGCTTGTTTAAGTAATGAATAATGTTTGAAAAAACTCTCTCTGACATTGTACCATTAACAAATCAGATGAAAAATGTAAGTCAAGAAGAGTTGTCTCTATCACATTTTGCAGATGGAAATAGGGCTTGAGAGCATACTTAGGTTGGGTATTTAAAATACCATAAGGAATCAGCTTTTGTCCAGTCTGGAAAGGCAGAAAGGGTATGAATTAGTTCTATTTCTGGCTTGTTCTTTAAATGAAAGGAAAACACAATCCATTCTTCTAAAAGCTATTGGTTTGTATAGTGATACACAACACACACAAAATGAGTTAGCCTCAATATCCGGATGCAATTCAGGATTTCTTTTCTCTTCTAATAAACTTCCTCTGCCATTTTAATTAAGTTAGTCTATCCAAGCTGGTGATCAGGGCTGTTGAAATTACATTGTATTGCAGTCAAAAGGAAGGAATCTTGAGAGTAAATTAACTTGCATCCTGCCAAGGTACCCAGTGCTTGGTTATTCTCAATAACAGGGTGACCAAAGGGTTAAAGCATCTTCAAAAGCATCAGAGTGAACCCAGGTCCCATTTATCAACCAGCTTTCATTTCACCATTTTGATTAATATGGGTGTAGAGAGAAGGGCAGTCACTCAGTAAAACAGGACAGTTGTATTTGTTAAGTGACTACCTACATATGGCAATATGAGGAACCCTGGGAAATTCCTTCACAAAAGCAGACATACTTCTAGCAATAGGTCACTGATGCCCAAAGTCTGCCATTATCTCATGGCGTCTGGGGGCTCAGGTGGTATTTGTTTGAGGACAGATATTTCTGGGAAGGTAGGCTATTCCAGGCACTGAACCTGCCAAAGATAGGAGGCCTTTAAAAATTTTGTTGTGTTCTATAAATTAACTTCAAAACAATAAATCAACAATATTTATCAAGTGCTTACTATATTCCAGATACATAAAAGATAGAAGTAAACTGACTCCTGGTTTAAAGAAACTTGCATTCTGCAGATTGGGTGGGTGGGTGCATATAAACATATAATTAAACATTTAGTAATTTTTTGGGGGGAGGAAGAGTGATAGGAGACACTAGTAGCTGAGAAATCAGAAAAATCTTCATGTAGGAGGTAAAAGGGATACTAGAAGAATACCTTTTTATGTGCAGGGGAAGAGAATAAGCATTTATTTGGCACCTACTGTGTCAGGCACTGTGCTAAGTTCTTTACAAAATATTATCTCATCATGGCGGGGCAGACATCAATAAAAACCAACAGTTTTGTGAAGATATAAAAAAAAAATGTGATTTCTGAAGGGAACTTCCACTAATCAAAATTTCTCCACCAAACTAGCCCACAGCACTTTTAGAAATTAGGAAGTAAACCATAGGGAGTTATCTGAGACACACAGAGCTTAAGTGACTCACCCAGGGAGATCCAGTCAGCACATGCCAGTAGAGGATGTTGCCGATAACTAGGCCAAGACTATTGTCTGCTACATCAAACCCTAAAATTTATTACCCCCAATCACCAGGTCATGATGATAATTGTTTGATACCACTATCCCACCATCACAATTCTCAAATTCTTAGAGACACAAAACCTCTACTAGTCTGAGACTTGTTTCAAAATGACTTGAAGCCAGACATAAACATTGGGTGATAAAGTCTACTGACAGCGGCCACATAGCAAGCTGTTGAGAGATTCAAGACAAGAATCAGTCCTCTTTTCTCTCACTCCAGTGTTTTTTCCACCAGTCGCCCAACCAACCAATCAAAAAGCATTTCTGGGTAGAACTGTGTGCCAAGAACTGTGCCCGGTACTTGCTATCCAAAGACTGAAAGGCAAACCTGTCACACCCTGCTTGAGGGTGGGTTTGAAGTCATTTGCTGGAGGGAGAGGGACAAGCACCCGGGGTGACTGGGGTGGGTCCCAGAGGGACCTGCTAAGAGGAAAAGAAGCTTGAGGACAAATCTCCTTAACACCTAGGATTCGGCTGCCCCTTTTCCTTTCCAGCTTCCTCTCTGCATCTTCTGTCTTTTGTGTCTCAAACACACAACAAATACACATACACTCTTTTCCAATGGATATCGACATTATCAGAAAGAAATCTGCTACAGCCTCTACTCAGTGTTTGGGAATACATTGGGAATAAATGTTTGTAAGAATTAGTGCAGTCCTCTGCACCCAAGTCAAACCTTTCTGTGATCAACAGGTCCATTAATAATCAGAATCATTTTGTTCCACTGAACAAACCTAAATGGTCTGTGTATGTATTTATTGAAGAAAAACTGGCTAATTATCATACCCCTCTCCTCCTAGATGCTTACTTTGTGGAATATTATTTGAGACCAGGACCTAAGGCCAGTAACTCAGCAGGGCATGAGATTTAGAAGAACACCACAAACAAAATCTCAGTGATTCATAAGATTGTGGGTATGATGTGTGTTCCCAGAACACTGCTCAAACGTACTGAGGACAATGGGGGAGGGGTGCTGCCTTTGGTGGATTTGTCCTTGTATTTCCCTTATCTGGAAGAGGCACAAAAAAGCCAAAACAAAATATTATCCTCCTTGTGCACATGGAAAACCAAACATAATTTATCCAAGAAAACCTAACTCATCGCTCTTAATATGCACTCAATAAATGCTTATTGATGAAAAGAAAACAAAAGACCACGGACATGATGGTACCCACTTCCTCTGGGTTTCCATTTCAATCTCCGGACAATGAAGGGGCTGGATTATCAGATCTCTAAGGTCCCTCCCTGCTCAATGGCTTATGGCATCCTTTTGGTTTATTACAAGGAACATTTTACACACACACACACACACACACTCACTCACAAGAAAGGACAATTCAAAGCAGCGTTGGCTCCTGGGGTCAAATCGATAAAAGTGAGAACAGCTTTATTTAGGTAGCATATATGTACACACTTATGTTAGAGGCACTGTTCTAGGTTTGGGCTTCTTGAGGCCCTGTATTTTAATCTTGCCTCTGAGATAATCCCTGGGCCTCAGTTTTCTCATCTGTAAAATGAGTGGGTTGTCTTTGATGGTGTTGGATAAAACTTCCAGCCCAAAATCTGTGATCCTGTGACCTTGTGAGGCACAACCTGGCCAGCACCTGTCAAACCCAGAAAAGTCCAAGTCAGAACTATGTGATCTTACCCCAAATTACATTTAATCAAGAAGAGAATGAGGAATGATCACAACAAAAAAGTTTCCACTTTTGATAGAAAGCTGCTGGAGGGCCCTGAACCCAAGTGTGCCCACCCTGGGCAGGATGGGCGTGTTTATTAGTCAAAATGCCTCCTTTCTCTGAAGGTCATGC